CCCTAATCGGAGCAACAAAGCGGGCGAGAGCTTGCATCGGCGGGCGACCCTTGAGCTTATTGCGATGCGTTCCTTGCAGTGTTAGCTCCTCGATACTTCTTCTCCCTGCTTGGATCCATTTATTTTCGATTTTCTGATTTGCTAATATGATTTGTTAATTGGTTTGGTGGTGATGCGCTTTATTAGAGTCAATTTCATGATCTTGTATTGGATTTGAGAACAATGATGTTTTTTTAACAAGACTGCATTTAATGATTTTTTTATATGAATAAAAGTTCAGTTCACCATGACTTCAGATCACAATGTATTTGTGTCTTGATTCCCTATAATTTCAATACATGGAGCATTAGCCCAAATTCATGGAAGATCACATTTGCAGGACTCTTTGAAACTGTATTTTATTTTTCCAAATGTACACATTTTATTTTATTTTTACTAGGGATAAAATGATCATTTTACCCTTAACACTTTCAAGTGCCAAAAACGGACGGAAGACCATAGAAAGAAGGAAATTCCGTTTCGGGGCCATACAGCTAAGTTAAAAAAAAAGATCATACAAAGATGAGGAATTTTTTCCAAGGCCAGGTAAAAAGCTCAATAAAATATTGATGGCAAAAAGTTAGTTCTGCTGTTAGCCTCACCTATGTGGATGGGCTAATGACTAATTTAAGCAGGGAAAAAAACAAAAAACCAAACTGTCACGGGCCACGGCCCACCCAGTCCTTTTGTGTTGAGGCCTTGTGGGTGAGCAAAAGGCAGGCGTGTCCCCTCCGGGCTCAGAGCCGAAAGCCCCGAGCCAGAGCTGGGCAGGCCTCGGTCACGCAAAGCCCAAAGGTGCCCCGCCGACTGCCATGGACACGAGACACTCTCAAACCCCAAGAAAACAAGTCCATATGAACCTTCCTCAATTATTACGTGATTTTGATTTGCTCCCTTTAATTAGAAAATTAGATTTTTAGACTTCTTTATCTTTTAAAACTGTTTGATTTATCTCTCTGAGTGGTTTTGGCTAACACGATGCCATGCCGATAGTTCTATATGACACTATGTTACGTGACATTTAACAGTTCATAAATGTCAATTAGACTTCGTCTAAAAAAAATGTCAATTAGACTTTATAAATATATATATATATATATAGAAATAACTTTTGGAAATTTTATCCAAATATTTTTCTAAAATCAATATGCAATTAAAAATAACTAAAATAAAATTTAATATTAGGAAATTCATAGAAATATTTAAATTAGAAAAATATCTAAAATTATGCTCTACCTTCTTGTTCCTTGCTTAGAATTACCTAAAAATTACATGGTCTCTTAAAATTTAAAACCGGGCCAAATATGAAACAAAGGACGTAGACCAAGACAAATCCTTGCTGACCACAGTATGGACAACCGCACAAATCGCCACGCAAAATGCACAAAAATGTTTCTGGGCAGCAATGTCTTACTTAACTATCGAGACAGGCATATTAAATTCTAAATAAAAATATAACTCAAACTCTATTTGAACATTAATAACAAGTATCTTGTGGTTTCACTTTTTTGCCATGTTCGCTTGGCTGATAAGTCATGACTAAAAATATGTTGGCTGATTTATTGTGAGAGAAAAATATTATTCGTTGGCTAAAAAAATATGACATACAAGCCAAGCGAACATAGCGTTTAGCACCACTATCTTCTTCAGGAAACATCACGCCAGTGACATACAGACTCAATAGACCATCAGCGACAGTTGGCGTGCTGCTTCTCTGGCTCTCGAACCTGGCCAACAATATTACGATGGACGTGATTGCTTCCTTATTCGTCGTCACCATCATAGGTATACGTGCATCAGAAGCACGTGATCGAGCAAGAAGACAATTTGGACGGACCTGAGATGGCGAACTTCATGCATTTACAAAAGTCATGCTCTATGTTATGGTTCCTAGCTAAGAAAAACAAAGAGCATGATTTTAGGAAAAAAATGAAACCGTTTCATATTTTTTGAGTTAAAACAAGTTTTTTTGGAATTTTCTAGTATTAAAATCAAAGTTTAGTATTTTTAATACATATTTACTCCATAACTTTTTAGAAAGTTTGATTGACCTCCCTAGATTATCGTGAAAGCCTGATTTACCTCTCTCGTGGCTACCGTGGCGCCACATAGGATGGCTGATGCGAGCAACTAAAACAGCTAAGAAAGATAAATAAGACGATTTCAAGAGTTAGAGTAGTCTAAATAACTGATTTTCTAATCGAGGGAGGCAAATTGAACTGATGCAATAGTTGAGGGATCAAATGGACTTTTTCCAAGGCCAAAGGTGTCACTATCAGTCCCGGTGAGAGTGCAACGACAGAAGTGCAACATTGTAAGTGCGCTTGGCTGTTGCTAATACTAATACTCCTCGGTAAGAATAAAATTATGGGATTTGTGCAAGTCAACACTAACTTAACTTTAACCAAGTTTATAGTGAATGGTATTAACATTTATGTCTCCAACTAGGTTTATTACGAAAATATATTTTGTAGTAAATTTAATGATATTTTTATATCATAAATGTTAGTATCTATTTATATCTATATCTATACATATATATTTATATCTATACCTAATACTAAAGAGGCAAAATTTCCGGCCATTATTTCTCGTCCATCCATTTTTTTTCGTCCATCTCTCCCTAACTAACTCACCGCGAATGTGAAAAATTATCCCTGCTCGTTTAACTACAGCCCTCGTGATTTATATATGACATACACAGGGCTTTTTAAGGTAATATGGATAGTTGAATCATAATCCTAATCCAAATAAATTCGTCCGATTTTGAGTAAGAATCCTAATCCGAATAGAAACTTGGGTAGCTAAGAATTCTAATCCAAACAGATTCTTGCGATCCTACTTAGTAACAATCCTAATCCGAATAGAAAAGAATAAGAGTAATAATAATTAATAATCGTATTACAGGTGGTTTCTTGGTCTCTGTCTGAACCTACGCATGAGTCGTCCTCAGTGTTTTTTTGCCTGCGCATCTGAGAGACCGAGACTAAGAAGAGTTTCTTCTTTTGTCCGTTTTTCTATTCCGTTGCCCTGTTTGATGGATTTTTGTCAGATTTAAATTCGTCTTGTATACGCGTACACTCATATTTGTGTGTATCACCGGGCATGCAAATTAAAAATACATAGAAAATGTACGTGCTCGACATGTGCATGCATGGGAAAGAAACAAGCCATGGCTGGAAGGTACGCATGCGTACAACGTGAGCTGGCCATGTGGTACACGTACATGTGTCAGGCTATCATTTTGTCAACACGAATTATGTTGAGCCTACAAGACAGTCTGCGCAGACTCGGCGAATGGTCCGTAACATTCTACAGGCCTGGCCTTTGGTGTAAACGGATGGCAGATACGTTACCACCAGGCAGCGTATGTCTGTCGGCCGCAAGATGTTGAACCAAGTATACGTACATATTTTGGGTTATTATTATGCAATGGAACTCCATCTTGCTGGGTCCACGTGTCATGGTTGGACTGCATGGGTGGAGATCCAATTGAATTCGGCAATCACCACGTACCGTCCGGCCAGAAAACATCTCAGCTAATTGGCAAGTCGAGTCCGGCCAGAAAAAAAAACGCGAGTTTTCTAGAAGCGTTATCGCAAGGATAGTTGTTGCGAAAGGAACCGGCTCCGGATCTCTCTCAGGCCTTAACAAATTTTAGGCATTTAATTTCTTTTATGTGCATCACGAATTGTACTTTAGCTCATTGCATTTGCTCATGAATAAGAGAGTAAAAAACACAGTTATTTTAGAAGCAAACAAACATTAAAAAAAACTCGGACAACGTGGAGATAGCATATATATGCGCTCCCCGAGTATTGAGTTTAAGGTAGAGGACTTCTCACTTGGATTCATCCGGAATGAAAGCATGATAGTTTTTTTATTCCGTTGTAACGCACATACATATTTGCTAGTAACTTTGATTAAATTTTAAATTATTTGCCCAGAATCGAGAACATTGTTTTTAACGCTGGGAGTACTAAAGAGAAAAAGCAACTCGACGGCGGCTAGTTTTGGGAATCAGAATCAGGCGGATCGGAAGCCGGAAGCCGCTTTCATCGACGACTTGGCCGGCGGAAAGGAAAAGCATCCATCTATTATTGTCCTATCTGTACAAGATAGGAAAGCAAGCGTCGTGGAGAAAGTAAAAAGCATCAAGAAGGTTTGGCCCATCGATTCTTTTCTCGCCCTATAATCATCGTCGCGCCATTCGAAATATCGGTCGTTTGCAGATTTGACACTGGATATAGACACAGATAGACCTGGTTGTCATCCACGAGTGTCATCGTAATCGAGAGTCAATTTTTCGAGTGTCATTTTTGCAATTTTTTCGCCATCGGGTATGCAGCTCAATAGCCTCAGCCAGCTCAATAGCCTTCCTCCATCGCCGGCGATCTCTCGGCCGTCGACGATCAGGCATGCAGCTCGATTTCTGTAACCAGATCCCCTTTCCCTGTATTCTCTCTCTCTTTTTTTACCATATCGTTTCTTGAAGTATTTCTTTTTTACAATATGGTCAGTTCGATCGTCATCCAGAAGAACCGCAAGGCTTTTGAAGCACAAGTTCTTACGTGCGAATGTCAGTACATACTTTGATCGTTATCCTGCAGTAGGGATTTTCACTTGCAGTTCAGATCACTGCTAAACAGAAGAACACAGTAAGATACTTCCCGATCTGACAAGGGAAATGCACACTGGCCGGGAGAGAAAAGGACATCTTGTTGATTTCAGGTAATCCACATACTTGACATAAAACATTGTTTTCACAAACTTTACCTCTAGTAATAAGTTAACATTAAAATTTAAATACTTGCGGTTACTACTTTGATATGAATACTTCTCTTGGTGCCCATGCCTCTGCATTTCCTTACATTGAAATTGAATGGAACAGAACAGAAAGCTGAAGATGCTGGAATTCCTCACTTCTTCTGAATCTCTCAATCAATCCCATGCTTATCACCATGAAGGCTGCTGCAACTGGACAGCTGCTGCTGGTGCTCATGGTTTGCAGTCTGCATGCTGTCACCTGCACCACCACTCCTGGGGACCTAGCAGATCGACTGTCGCTGCTTGAATTCAAGAAGGCGATCAGTTTGGATCCACAACAAGCATTGGCCTCTTGGAATGACAGCACCCACTTCTGCAGTTGGGAAGGTGTCACATGCAGGACGAGGAGCCGTCGTGTCACTAATCTTGACCTTGCAAACCGAGGTTTAGTAGGACACATATCACCTTCCCTCGGGAACCTGACATTCCTGAAACACCTGTCCCTAGCAACAAACAGATTCAGTGGAGATATCCCAGCATCCCTTGGCGAGTTGCATCGCCTCCAGACCCTCTACTTGAGTAACAACACGTTACATGGAGTTATACCAACCTTCCAAAACTGCTCTAGTCTGCAGAAACTATAGCTCTACGGGAACAACCTCGTTGGAGGATTTCCTGATTTGCCTCTTGGACTCAAACAGCTGGACCTTGGATCTAACAATCTTTCTGGAACCATCCCTTTTTCTCTTGCCAATATCACAACTCTTAAGGGTTTGGGCTTCAATTTCAATAACATTGAGGGAAACTTCCCACATGAGTTTGCCAAGTTTCTGGAGATACAGATTCTGATCGCTAGTGGCAACCATTTGGTAGGTAGTTTTCCACAGGCCATCCTGAATCTTTCAACCCTCATTACCATTGGTATTGCAGGGAATCATTTAAGCGGCGAGGTGCCACCTGGCCTCGGTAGCTCTCTTTCCAACCTCCAACGCTTGCAATAGACAACAACTTTTTCCATGGCCACATCCCTTCCTCGGTGGCCAATGCATCAAATCTGCGCATTATTGATATGTCAAACAACAGTTTCACTGGGGTGGTCCCTAGTTCCATTGGTAAACTTCGCAATCTCTACCTTCTGAACCTTGAGTTAAATAAACTTAAAGCTCGTAACAGTCAAGACTGGGAGTTTGTTTACAGCTTAGGCAACTGTACTAATCTACAAACATTGTCATTATATTCCAATCAGCTAGAAGGCCACGTACCTACTTCATTAGGTAACCTTTCTGTTGGACTGCAGACATTATTACTGGGGAATAATCAATTGTCAGGTGGTTTTCCTTCTGGCATCGCGAACCTCCACAACCTTATGTGGTTAGTACTATCTGGGAACCAATTTACAGGCGAGGTTCCAGAATGGCTTGGAACGCTAAACAGTTTACAGGTGATGCATTTAGACAACAACAACTTCACAGGGTTTATTCCATCATCCCTTTCGAACTTGTCTCAGCTATTATATCTCTATCTTGAATCCAACAAATTCGAAGGGCATTTACCTGCAAGCATAGGAAATCTTCAAAATCTTCAACTATGTAACTTTTCAAATAACCTTCTTCATGGTGGTATTCCCAAAGAGATGTTTGTAATTCCAGCAATCCTTCGTATTGATTTATCTGCAAACCACCTGCACGGGCAACTTCCTTATGAAATAGGCAATGCCTAGGTACTCACATATTTGGATCTTTCGTCAAATATGCTGTTTGGTGACATTTCGACCACTATAGGTAATTGTGAAAACTTGGTATACATTGTGCTGGGACAGAATAGTTTTGGAGGAAGCATCCCCATTACAATAGGCAACATAAGTGGCCTACAAGTTCTAAACTTGTCTCACAATAATTTGACCGGGTCAATACCAATGTCCCTCAGCAACCTCCGGTACCTTAAACAACTAGATCTATCCTTCAACAACATCAGTGGTGAGGTCCCATTGAAAGGGATATTCAGCAATGTGACTGCTGTGAGGATTGATGGAAATCCAGGGCTTTGTGGTGGGCCATTGGAATTACACCAACTCGCATGCCATGTCACGCCTATTAATTCAAGTAAGCAGAGGCGACATTCCATTGTACAAAAAGTGGTCATCCCCTTATCCAGCATTTTGTTAGTTGCTATAGTCATAACTGTAATGCTTGTCTGGAGAGGAAAACAAAAAAGAAACATATTATCTTTGCCATCATATGGTAGCAAATTTCCCAAAGTTTCTTACAACGATCTAGCCAGAGCAACATGTGGGTTCTCAGCATCCAATTTGATTGGCAAAGGAAGATATTCTTCCGTGTATAAAGGAGAACTCTTCCAAGGTAGAACCTTGGTTGCTATCAAAGTTTTCCGTCTAGAGACAGGGGGAGCACAACAGAGCTTCATTGCAGAATGCAACGCTCTACGTAAGTTGCGGCACAGAAATCTAGTTCCTATAGTAACTGCATGCTCCAGTATTGATTCCAGTGGAAATGATTTCAAAGCCTTAGTCTATGAGTTCATGGCACAAGGTGACTTGCATGAGCTACTGCACTCAACTAAATGTGATGGCAACACCTCAACTCAAATCCACGTCACAATGGCTCAAAGGTTAAGTATTGCAGTGGATGTCGCAGATGCATTGGAGTACCTTCACCATGGCAACCAAGGAACCATTGTGCATTGTGATCTGAAGCCTAGCAACATTCTTTTGGATGACAATATGACAGAACATGTTGGAGACTTTGGTCTTGCAAGGTTCAAGGTTGACTCAGCAGCAGCATCGTCCACTCACTCGATCTCGACTTCAGCCGCTATTATGGGTCCAGGTAATACGAAGTTTCATACTGGATAATTTTCTCATGTGCATATATATTTGGTGTAAGCAATTCTTTTGTGCAATCTGCAGAGTGTGCTACAGGTGGAGCAGTTTCGAGTGCTGGAGATGTTTACAGCTTTGGGATTGTTCTACTTGAATTATTTTTGCGGAGGATGCCAACTGACGAAATGTTCGATGGTGGGATGAACATCACAAAATTTGTTGAGATGAACTTTCCTGACATGATACCACATATTATTGACCCTCAACTACTAGAAGAGCAACAAGATTTATCTCAAGAAACTTCATTTGCCATGAAGGAGAAAAGCTTGGAGTGTTTGCTTTCAGTTCTAAACATTGGGCTTCTCTGCACTAAGACGTCCCCGAATGAGCGCATCTGCATGCAGGAAGTGGCTGCAAGGTTGCACGAAACCAAGAAGGCATATCCAAGAGAAAACTAAGGTAATACATGCAACGTCCTCTATACTTTGATATGGTATACTTCAAAAATTGTTCTAGCTGTACCTCACTCTTTTTTTTCCTCTTCCTGGTTGTCACTTTTACCCTAGTGGCTACTGCTGACATAATAAGGCTTATCTCCCTGCACCATAACGGCAGTTCAAGAAGAAAAAAAACGTCACACTAGCATGCAAGTTCTTGAAGTTCTCATGTTTGATTTCTGGGAAGAAAGGATTTGTTGTACTGTTGCCAGATGTGATTCTGACATTTGGTGAATTTTCTCGTGTTTGCTTTTTGAAAAGAAGGGACTTGTAGTATTGCCATAGCAATACCAGTTGTGTTCTGACAATTGGCACGTTATAGTTGAAACCGTTGTGTGATAAAGCTTCTACCCATGGAGTTTAAAGTTTCATGAATCTATCCACCTTAATATGAACTGGCTGTCTGAAAAGATCACTCCAGAATTTCTGAGGCTCCAGTTCAATCGTTCTGCAATAAGCTGACACGGAATAAACAGCAGGGCAAATTAAAGATCGAACTTGGCTGACCAGACACACCGAATAAAACAGCAGGGCAACCTAGGGGGGATTCACTCTAGGTTTCATAGTCACAGATGCACACATCGTAAATTCATAATACAGCATTCCAGACGATATTTTACTTGCAGCACCGCCACTTAATATGTGATGATCAATAAATAGTAGTAACAATCTCATGTTTCACCAAATTAGTGTGAACTGCAAATTCTTGTGAAAAGTTGAAGACCAAAGAATCTCAACTCGGGATCTGATCACCACATAGGCGAGATTCATTCTTGGTTTTCTTGCTCAGAGATGCATATACATGGTTACAGGATTACTTGAGACATCACTGAATTCATGGTTACCAACCATAAGGGTTACATATTTCACCGCATCATGTAACTGCGGGTACTTGTCAAAAATGAACGGGAAATACCATATCATAGGCTTCCGGCTTCCCTCCAACCATAAGAACTGACTTCAGTTAACTGGGGAACATGACATTCACAGTCAGCGCATTTCTCTTGGACCAACAATGTAATCGAGTGTATATCGTCATCAGCCCATGATTACTTCACTATTACCCTTCTCATGAGCCAAAGTGTGTGATCCTTCTATGCGTATTAGTTGTATATATATAGCTTTGCAAAAGTCTTTGTTCTCCAAAAGTTCAACCTTTCGAGTGTCTCAAGTAAACCATCACAGCTACCCCTGTCAGAGCAATCGTACAAGCCATCAATCCATAATGAACATGCATTGACTGACTTCTGTGGGATGATGATACCAGCTCTGGCAATGGCTGTGTTACTTCATTGCTGGAATCTGAGTCGTCAATATGCAACCTCAAGGCCTGAAATTGCAAATTTAATTACAGCAGTTAGGAAATGGAGGTAAACAATGCCAACTAGACTGTTACTGAGCAACCTGGACTGAGACTTTCCAGACTGACTCGTACAACCTGATAGGCCTGTTCCATGTGTCCATTAGCCTAGGCCAATTTAGCCCAAAGTATTGGTGTAAATAACATTTAATGTCTACACATACAGGGCATCAGCATTATTCTGTATAGAAAATGGATACAACTGAATGATCTACACATAAGTTGGCAAGTGTTTGGTTGGCAACTAAAAGTTAGGCAAGATTCCTTGGGCTCCACATGTCATCGTAGAGTAAAAAAAGTGTGGCAAGATTCCCTTAGTCATGGCAAAGTGTTGCTCCAAATTTCTTAGTCACACTTTCCTAAGGTTAGTTGCGCAAACTATGGTTACGAACTAAACAGCCCCACAGTATGATAAATACTCAAATGGTAGTTTTTTAAGCAAACAAAAGGGGGTCCACATCAGAGAAGTGAAAGACCTTCAATCCAGATGATTTCGCATACAACACAGCACTAGTAAGATCCGAATTAGTTGTCAACAGCACCTTGTCGCCTTCATCATCTTCATACTGCATAGAGCAACACATGGAATTTTAGGTGGTACAATTGTTCAGTATGCAGGGTATTCTAAATAAGCTAAGCTCACAGATAAATTCGACAGTGCTTGGCAACAACAGGATACCGAATGAGATACATGATTGTTCCATTAACATTAAAACAGTATCTTCTATTTGAAGGTGATAACAGAACATCCAATTCTTACCATGAAATATAACTTCTAAAAGTTGGAAACAATGGGATGTCAAATTATTCAAGCTTACCAACAGTTGAATCACACTCTTCTCATCACCCATGCCTAACCTTTGGATTACAGAAGACATCAGCTCATCTAAACTCTCAGAGCCTGAAATCGAACAAATAAGCTGTTAGCTGAAGCATTCAGCCACAGTCAACTCTCTGACTAACATCATATTCAGTACCTACCACAAGTAAATCTATGCATACGTCCCTTCTTGTCCTGAAGCTTAAAGACAAATGAATTATCAACAGCAGGAGGATAAATACTACTCCTGCCATCCCTGGCATCTGATGGCATCACTAAAGATAATTCACTGTACAATGCAATAATTCAGGCAAGCATTGCGTTTGAGAGGGAAGACAGATAAAAAGAACACAAAAGAAACATTAACTAAACCTGTGACTATCAAAATCCTCATCTGGAGGCTCTAGAGCAAGTGCAGAGTCCCAGAATTTCTGCATTATCGTGTTTGGCACATCATTTGCAGCACAAGGACCTCCTTCAACCTTCAGGGGGAAAAAACATTTCAGATGGACTAAGATTACTAGGATGGATTAAGAGATGGAGGGCATGGGCCATGGAGAGGGAGACCATTGAAATGGCAGCATGGGTAATTTGCAGAACGTCCAAACAAGCAGCAACCCGCCCATCTGTTCATGGAAAAGGAAAATCAGATACACAATAGAAGTATCAAAGGAGGCAACCATAGGCTGGAAGAATCAAAGTTTACCTCCATCAAGAACAGGAATATGCAAGAATCTGCCATCATGCATGATATGTAGTGCATCAAGGATTGTTGTATCCAATGTAGCACAGTCGGGGTGTGCAGTCATTACCTGGATCAAAATAGTAGCAGAAACTGTGTGTCTAGGATGAATACAAAATTCAACAACTTTTGGAATAGAGAATCATAAATCTCAAGAAGAAACCTTTTCTACTAGAGTTAACTCAGGAGAAAGATTTTGGGCCACAACACGCATCAGCACATCCTTTGAGCTGAAATTCACGACCATATATTCATTATTAAGTTCTAAAATATCTAAAAAATGGGAAAATTAAAGGGTACAAGGTTGGAATTCTTACGTAAAGATCCCATGAAGCGAATTTCCAGCAGTAACAATGACTGAATTAACTCGTAACTCACGCATTTTCCGTGTTGCTTTCATAAAACAGGATCCGAAAGGGAAACGGTTGCTACTCTGCAAGTAAATACAGACATAAGCATTCTTATCTAGATCAACTTTTGCTAAAAATTTACAGAAGAATAGCAATGAATAAAGGAAAAGTGACAACATACTTTGTGTTCTCTGTGATAATGGTTGACAAAGAAGGTTTAAACATCCGTTCTCTCAGAGTCTCTATGAGATTGTGTGGACCTGCATCCAAAAACAGTTAATTGATTCTCTAGGCAAGTGCATAAAGCAATAACTAGTTTAGTACATGTACATCCAACTGGAAAGACACATATACATTACAACATTCAAGTTCACAACAAAAGACTTGGCTTCAAGTGATTGCAACGTTAAAACCATTTTTTTTTCTTCAGAAAAACAATGTAGCATAACTTACTGATGAAAATTGGTGTATATGACTAAAATATGCATGCTCCAATGTTCAGTGAATTCTTGTGCATTGGTGAACATCTGATGATAAAAAAGAAAAAGCAGGGATGAAGCAAGAGCTGACACAACAATATGGATACCTGAGAAGTTGCCACCCAACTGGCGCTCAACCCCTTCTACAGCAGCTGCTAGTGCACTTCCTTGCTCTGCTGCCTTTTCCAGTCTAGATATTGCATCATAGAGGCATTTTGCAATGTCCAGCATCGCAATAACCTCACCATTTTCCACAACTGGAAGGTGTCTAAATTTCCCTACAAATAAGAAAAATGCCATATTAACTTCAGAGAGAGGAATAACATATCTCAAAGTAAGTTTATTCAAGGAACATGGAAATAATGAGGGTTAGCCTATGCAGCACTAAATCTTATGATGCCATTAGGACGTTCAAGAAATTTGGATGCTGGACCACATTGAAAAATGCTGGTCCTCCTTTTCCTTATAAAACACAGGAGCAATGGAAGTTGTCATTACTTCGCCCCACTAGACTAATACAGTTGCTAAGATATAGCGTGATCTGTTAAAGTAAGTCCCAAGTCATTGCAGTAAGCAGGAACAAAATAATAACTTTCTACTATTAATAAAATAATATGTTCCTTTACCTGTAAAAACAAAATTAAATAAGGCATCTATATTTTCCATTATTTCTTTTCTTGAATGTGAAGTTATATTAACAGTAGTCCACATATACCTTGGACCATTTTCTGCAGTGCCTCAATAGCAGGTGTGTCCCCCGTGACATATAAAGGGTTCCTTGTCATAATCTTGGAGATGATTGTTTGCTCAACTCGCAGCCCCTCGGCAATGACCCTTGTAGCGATGTCCTATATCTCAGTTCAAAGGAAAAGAATGAAGCATGAGGTTATACTTTGACTAACAGTTAGATACTGCTGAGTCAGTGTCAGATTTGTTCAAACCAAATACAGATGAACACATAACAAGCCAACTGCATTACATTCAATGATTCAAGCAGTGATATACATGTATACACAGTTTCAGGTCCAGAACAAATAAGGACATGCATAGTGGCATCAGCTGCAAATTTCAAGCATATAGTAATTTAAACAAAGAATATAGCATTAGCTAAAGTTGCAATGTTGCAAAGCGTCCAACACTAAAGAAATGCATTCTGTTCAGGCACTTGATTGAGACACAAGCAAGCTTTATTGGAGCGAGCGGAGTACAATTCAAAACAGCCACTACCATACTATGACATTTTTACATATAAAGATGATACCTTTTAAGCTCCAACCCACTTAACAGTCAATCATAAGACATCTGGCACCATTAGATTCGAAACTGATGTAACTGAAGGAACACGATACCTTGTCGGTGACGATGCCAGAGAGCAGGCCACCGGCGTCGGTGAGCAGCACGGCATCGACCCGCCTCGCCGCCATCCTTCGGCACGCCTCCGAGACCGTGGTCCCCTCCGGGATCGTCAGCGCCTTGGACAGCCGCAGCTTCTTGACCGTCCTCTCCCCTCTGACGAAACCAACCAACCCAGCACCCTTAGTGACAGCTGAGGCGGAGGGGGGAGAATCCCAGAGAGGAGAAATCTTATGGCGGGCTTACGAGGCGTGGTCGGGGGAGGCGGGCTTGGTGGAGACTTTGCCGTTGCCGTTGGCGGTGGCGGAGGTGGCGGCGGCGGCGGCCGTGGGATCATCGGACCTGCTGCGGGAGGACGCGACCGACGGCGGCCGGCTGCGAGTGCGGCGATTAAGGGGCACAGCGGCGGTGGAGCTCATGACCGCGGCCGCGTAGGTGGCGGCGGATTCTCGACGGGGTAGGGAAGGGACGGCGGCGGCCGGGATTGTTGGAGGGGAACGATCGCTGACGCTGGCTCTTTTGGGCCCCCTGTTACGCTTCGGTCCCTGCTATACTGCAGAACTGCAAATGATTTCCTTCCAGACTTTGCAACCGTGGTGAACTTGAACATAGGAGGGGTCTATTCAAAATTCTGGAATTTGAGAAAGAACTAAACTCATTCGTTTGTTTTAGAGTATACTCCCTTCCTCCCAGAAAACAACACGTTACGAGGTATGTGCAGGTTAAACTTTCTCAACTTTAACTAAATATGTAGAAAATATGTGCAATATTATATCTTGTTTATTACAAAAATATATTCAACAATCTATCTAATGATACTAATTATGTATTATGAGTATTAATATTCTTTTATATATAATTGGTCAAAGTTAAAAAAATTGACTTCTCGAGAAGCGAAAACGTCTTCTATTTTGAAACAGAGGGAGTATGCCTCTCTAGTTTTGTCCTAAGTCAAACTTTTCTAACCGACTATCTTTTGAAAAAAAATGATTACATCTCCATAGAGAATTTAAAGAAACTAATTTAAATTTGAAGATGTTTACTCGTTTTTATAAAAATAATCAAAATTAGAGAAGTTTGACTAAAATAACCTGAGGGGAAGTCATCCTTTCGATAGGAGAAAAACTTAAATCTACACTAAATTTTTCTATACAATTTAGAACGAAAGAGGGGGAAGTCATCCTTTCGATAGGAGAAAAAACTTAAATCTACACTAATTTTTTCTAGCATTCATACTATAGACAATGATATATGCTTTTTTTTATCATGTGTTTATGGCAATATAAGAGTTTGTTTCCTCAGTACCGAACGCCCAAACCCAAATCGTGCAAGACCAAAACAAGCCTAAAGCAAGCTATGTTATGTGAGATCTATAGGGGCTAGGCCCATACCAATTTACTAGAAAATGCTGTGAAACACCCAATGCTTAGAGTATGTCTAAGAGTCTTTCTTAAGCTTACTCTTTAAATCATCACTTCAAAAGTCATTTGAACAAAACTCGCTTTCTTTTCTTTCTTTTTTGTTGCTATCCAACAACTTTTTAGTGTGCACTCCCAATTCCACACAACATCTTTGGCTATCTTTGTTAATAAAAGCCAGAACGAGGCAACCCCTCCTGTTTCCATAAAAAAATATCTTTGGCTATAGAGAAATCTGAAATATCGGATAACAGAGAACTAACAATTAACAAAAGAAGGTCTTTGGGACCATTTTTTTTTAAAATACCTATTTATATCAATAAGGAAGGATATAAAAAGATTATTGGAGTTGCGTTTCCTTTTCTTTTGTTCTTCTATTACTCTTGATGCAAACCATTATGGAAATGCGAGACCTAGTTACCCAAGTCTAGAACCAACTCATTTCGATGCATTTATGCTTGCTTGAGAATGAGGATTGATGAATACTATTACTACTAACTTAGGGTACGTTTTTTTTTTCAAAATAAAAAGGCCGAGCTTTTCCAAGGATAGGATGTTTTTCTCCGTTACGGAACTTGCCCTAGAAAACAACAAAAAATGGTTGTTGGTGATGACAATTCACAAAAGGACTCGTTTGGATTAACGTCATAGCAGATGGGGTTAGACGAAATGTCCTACAGCGCGTTCTCCTCGTTCTTTCAACGCTGACTACGACTGCGGCCCGCGGCCGTGTCGATGTGGAGGTGACGCCGCAGGCAGGTGGGCCAGGTTCTCCGTGCGTGTGGGACCTTGGTCGCTCGTGCGCTGGCCGTTCCGGATTCGAATCTGCAATCTCGGCCACGGTCCTCGACGTTCACGTGCGCGTGCCATCGTGTCGTCGCCACCTTCTGTAGTGGGATGCAACTGATGATGACGGGCTAAAAAAGGCCCGCCGACGAGTGCAGCCCGCCTGTAGCATCGACTGTGGACAACTCCCACATTGGGCCTCCTCACTTGGCCCCAACACGAACTCCGACCTCAACGAGGCCCACAAGAAAAGTCCAGGACCTTCAGGCGACGGCGACACCCCCGCCCCAATCCTGTGTCTTTCCACAACAGAGACAAAAAAAAAGGCCTTGGAATACACTCCCCCATCCCCCTGTGTGTGGATGAAAAGCCTGGATCACCATCCCAGGCATGGTAAAAAAGTTGAATGCGCCTCATACGGTCATAACAAACACTACTACCTTTTGATAGAGCATCTGAGATTAGCCAAATCATTTTTTAAAGATAAATTTAGTTATTATTAAAGGAAGAACGTCCTCAACAGACTCTGTAAATGACTCTAAATTTAATAGCTCTTCATCCCTGCTCTCTACTTTTAGATAACCTACCTCAATAGCCATCTAGCCTCTTAGTTTTACAGTCTGTTAAAGTACTCTAATATGTTTTTGTCAAATCTAATGATTAATACATGTGAGCCTTTTCTCTAGACGGCCTTCCAATTAACAGATGTGGCATCTACTTATGCCCATCTCTGTTAATCTAGAGGTCTGTCTTCTAAAAATATTTTTGGTAGTGTCTTCTTCTTTCTTTCTATCTTTCTTTCTTTTTCTTTCTTTTTTTTGGGAAGAAACTACTACCAACCTAGCAGGTTTGCGGGGATCTATAGAGAAACAAATAGCATGTTACAAAAACAGCTCAAACTTCTGAACCAAGTTCTTATATATGTTCTGGCGCGTCTTGCTACCACACAATAATATTAAAACAGGGACAACACAACGCGGGCACAACTCTTGTGACAATGATACAATCAGCAGTGGCTCGTCCAATCTTCAACGACACCTATCGGTTTCTGAAGCATGAGCAACCCTGCAAGGAAGCAGAACAGTGAATTCAACAAGGTCCTATATAATGTTTCTTTCAACATATGACAGTGTTTCATTCAACATAGTCAAATTCTAGAAAGTTACTTCTAAAAGCAGTTGTGAAATACAATGTAGTGGGTTTTTACTTGGAACTAAACAACAAAAAACAGTGGATAGTCAATACTAGTATAGCTACTATAGCACTGAACTTTATTGCTAACAAAAGGTAACAATGCTACCAGTGTACTTAATATTGCTCTGTCTGCTTAGAATATGTTCTGCGGTACTTTTCAGCAAAACGAAAAGGGCCTGCTTATAACATGTTCTGCTTAGAGAGAGTAGTTATTCTGCTATTGCTGAAGTAAGCATGAGGCAATGAACGCTAAAACCAGTAATGGTGCATCAAGTAGTCGAATTAAGTTATTCTGCTACTTGGTGCTAATGATGGTCAGTGCTCTGAAATCAATCGGCACCCATCTTCAGTTTTTAGAAGGACATCAAAATGCAAGAAAAATCAAAACTATAAGAAGCACATGCAAATAAATGCTTTAACCTGAATATTAGATCAAGAAATAGTTTTAAGTCAGAAGTGGACTCACTGTGGATTCGTGTTTGCGGCCTTGATTGGAGCGGTTATAACCTGTGTCACTGGTGATGGCAGGAGCAACGCCAGACTGTCTATCCTCCCTCACTTTGTTAAATATGGCAGTCTAACCTTCACCTGTGGAGGGATCTTTCTCATTCCATTCTTCCCATTCTCCAAACTTGCGAGGCTGTATGTGAAAGAAATAACAGTACATCTCTTCGGAAATTATACAGATAAGACAATTTCAAATGCAGTTTCAACTTAATTGTTTCAGTTCCCTTCACACTCAAAGTATCAATATATAATAAGCACATTACGGATTGTGTTTTAATTAAAAGAGATTAAGATTATACCATTTCGTCTCCACGGATAATTGAAATCATTTTGGATAGTCCAGGTGTGGCTGGCGCAGTTCCATGGTTTCCTTCAGATGAACCCATGCGTTCCCAATTTCCAAATTTGGGAACTCCTTGATGCTGGTACAGTAGAATAAATAAATCCACATCAGACACTGGTTGGCAAATTGATCTAACACCTAGTACCATATTAGGTGAAGTCTACACTGGCGTAGTTCCATACGAGAATCTATTGATCCATCAAATCTGCAGGGAGCCACTGACAAACTAAATATAGATTCATACGAGTGGCGAACAAATCATTACTAGTTTTCCAACACGTCATGGTTAAGGTTAACACAATCAAATGGAAACATACTACTAACATGCAGCCATCATTGAAATTGGGAAAATCCCAAATACATAGGTAAACAGAGCAATAGACTCTACCACACCCCACATTTCACAAAGATGGCACCCCTTTAGGTTTATTAACTATCTCCCACATCAGTATGGAGGCCACAAGATCACAGTTGATGCTACCACAGTCCAGTGCTAGCTGACGAAACATCATCAAAAGACAAAAAAATAAACATACATATAAGTTCTTAGTGATAAATCAACATCATTGACTGGGCTATGAACCTATGACACCAAGCATTTTAAGGGCACACGTTCGGCGGCTATCACAGTCCGGAGCTAGTCGACGAAACATCATCAGCCTAATCATAATACAATTCCCAACAGCTATGGTGTGCCTAACAGTGCATATAGTATACGGTTGTTTTCAGACGGTGGAAAACAAAACAAATCAGTCTACATCGTGCCTATGTCTGTACAGAGCAGTACATGTGGTGTGGAATGTGGATTGGCAGGAGCTGTAGGCAACAGTAAACTGCTGCTGCAAGGTCTGCTGACCGTACCCTGCCTGATTCTGCACCGTAAATCGCGTTGGAATATAATTGCTGATATGATGATGTGCTATAGTATATTCTAAGTTGAAAGTTCTTTTAAGGTCAGAATTGAAGAACGTGTGTGTGGCCAAGGCCAATGGAAACACAAGAGTCTAGGATCATCAACATCAAGAATTTTAAGAACTTATATGTACGTTTATTTTTTATCACAGTCGATGCTCACTCGATCCACGAGATGGATCCAGTCGATGATGCCATCATTGACTGGGCTATGACAAAGAAACAAGATGTTCCAACATATATTGTCAAATTTACCAGGTTTGTTTGTATGTCTCGATCACTTGTCACATTGTCATCATTGAGTGGGGACACTTGTGGGACCGGAACCACTTCTATCTCACTCGATTGTCTGGTGACATCCACCGTAGTAGGCATATAAAGTAGGCCATCTGAAAAAAGTAACATAAAAGGAAATTTAGTTGTTTTCACTTAAAATTATTAAATTTTGTGAAACCAAAATATTTCAACACATAGGTGCACTGGATCTTATATTCATTACAAATAATAACAGAGTTTGGATAACTTTCTATATGTAGGAAGAAAGTGCAATTTGGTTAAATTTGTGTTTGTCATTGATTAAATAATTGTCTAAAGATGTAAAATCAAATATTTTTGTGTGCGAAATCCTATTGTACTCTTTCAGTTGTGAACGAGAGACAACATCCTAATTAATTGCTTCAACAAATTGAACTAATTAGCAATGTTTGTAGTAGTAAAGAACAATATAAAGGACATTAGGACAACATGAAATTGATTATAATAAATATAAACAACAGTTACTGATCAATCCACAACAACAACATATCCCCATGTTTGATTAAGGGGAAAACAAAAATCACCAAAAAAAGAACTCTGAATCTACACCAGTTATTTTGGGGACATTGTACTTTTAACCATGTATATTAATTAGTGATAAATCTATTGTATATTAAATATTAATAAACACATATTTTCAAATGTTGAGGCCATAATTTTAAAGAAAATACATATTTAAAATAGATACGAAATTGTGTACTTTAAAGAAATACATTATCAGATGAATATAAAAACTGAAACTATATTTTAAGGAATCTTCTGGAACAACTATGTGCTCCATTTAGTTTTGTTATGTATCTGATTAATCTCTAAAATTAACCTTACCTGTAAAATGTATTTTTAAACAAAACAAGACAAGTCTTTTTTGGAGTGAAGTATATGTACCTGAATGAGATGAAGTTGTAGCTAAACCAGGAGCTTGGGGAATCCTAAGAAAATAAAGTCAGTTCAGTTAAAATAAGTAAAATAAAAAGAACAACAATTAAAAGCATCCCATGGTGTCTACCTCAATGTCAAATATACAAAATATAATCGAAGTAGTTGGCACTAGACGTCCAAATCTACTAATCATTAATAATAATAAACTTATATATATATATTATAAATCAAAATTGTGCACAAATTTTATGGTTTGGTTTATTTTTTTTGGTTAGTTATTGGATCGCCTCACCCTTGTACTATCTTTGATAAATTTATTTAGGACAAGCATATGTTCTATAGACACTTTTTGGTTAAATATCTGTCATAATGCAACTACTACTCTTTTTGGTTAAATATCTGTCATAATGTCTAGATTTTGGATAAGTCAATTTTTTTCTAGGTTTGACCATGTTTATATGAAAAAGTATCATCATTTATGTCTCCAATTTGGTTTACTATTCTATAATCAATATAATAATATTTATTCAGAATCAGAAATATCGGTAAGTGTTTTGAATAAATTTGGTCAAACATAAAATTATTTGACTCCTTGGAAAGTGAGAATTGCATTCTTTTTAGGACCGAGTAAGTAACTAAAAGAAGATTGCAAAAAAGGTAAATGGCAAATAATTTTTAAGACTATAAAAGAGTTTTTGAATTAAATATAGGCACTTACTGATCTTCCTCAATGAAATCAGCCCTTTGTACGTTGAATCTCAGATGCCTCAAATGCTTGCTAATGATGTCCTTGAATACAGATTCTGCTGCCATCTTGTCAAAGTCCTGTGCACCAGGAGCTACCCCAATTCGTACATTAATCTCTTGGAGGCTTAACAAGTGATCAATGCCGGCAAGCATATCACTGTACTGCTCTCGACTGTGGGCATTGAATTCTAGCTTGAGCCTCCGGAGGTTTGGAATTGCTTCTGCCTGAAATGCAAGGCGTAGGACGGAACATCTTAATTTGAGATATTTCAGAAATGGGAACGACACGCTGTTGAAGATAATGCTTTCTGCAGTTGGTTGCCTGACGTCCAACGAGAGAACAGTGAGTTCCTGTAATCCAGCAATTCTGTTAAGATCATCCCTCCTCAGTTCCCTAACAGCAATTTTCAGAACACATAGCTTTTGGAGCTGTCCAAACCATTCAGGAAGTCTTGAAAATATGCAAATGGGTGGCAACAACTCGAATTTCTCAAGAAAAACAGGTGGAGAAGATACTATACTGGAGCAGTCCGTGAAAATGCTCGGGCATGAAACACCTGGAGCAAGAGTAAGAGATTTTAGGCTTTCATGTTTCCCAATCGAAGAAGCCAGAGCTACCAAGTTTCTGTTCAGACGATCAGACGATGTTGTAGAACAGGTTATATGAAGATCACGCAGGTTCGCCATCTCACTAAGGCTCTTTACATTGTCTTCAGAGTTGCTTCTCAAGTCAAAACTCTGCAATGTTCGTAGGGATTTCAGTTGGCCAACATAATCGGGCAGCTTTATATCACCTTGAAGGTGGAGATGCAGCAGTTTCGGGAGATGGACGATATCTGATGGAACTGTCAATAAACTTGCATATATTTCCAGTGTTTCCAAATATTTTAGTCCTTGCATACGGACCGGTAGCTTTATGACAATATCAGTTGTAATCCGCACATATCTCAGCTGACACAATTAAAAAATTCCACTTAGGTCGAACTCTTTTCGATCTCTCCAAAATTCAAGGATTAAAACTCGAAGCAGGTTAAACTCCATAATGGAAGGCAGACACTCAACAAGTCCATAAAATGTGAGTGATCGAACTGGTGATAGCGTGAAGCCGTCAGGTTTGGCTGCATATTTAGCATTGCTGAAGCTGAGAGACAGTCGGCGAACCTTTGCAAAAAGCTTTGGAATAGTTCCGGAGTAGTCTATTACAGTGGTGAAATTCTCTTCTATGGACTTGTGCTTAATAACTTCAAAGATAGTGGAGTGCACTGTATAGAACATCACCTCATCTGAGAAATTGAGATTAGGCTGTACAAGTCCCCTGCCAACAAGCTCATCAAAATAGCACTCTGCAACTTCGTTAATATCTTTACCTGCCACTGGAGTGATAAAACCTTCAGCGGTCCATTGCTTCATCAAATCAACCTTCATGAATGTGTACCCTTCATGATACAAACTAAGATATAGTAGGCATGTCTTCACTTGTTCCGAAAGAGTATAATAGATGAGTCCTATTATTTCTCTTAACAAGTCTTCCGAAGATATATTATTTCTGGAAGATAAGAATTCCTTAATATGGGACCACCGCTCTGAGTTTTTTGGTTGACTTGCCAAAACACTAGCTATGATAATGATTGCTTGTGGCAAACCACTGCATTTTGTTATGATCTCTTCTGCATATTTCTTCAGGTGTTCAGATAATTCAGTCTTGCAGCCTACTTTGTTAAAGAACAATTCCATGGAGTCATCTGTGCTCAGTGGCTCCATCTTTAAAATGCCTACTTGAGCAAGGAAATGAGAGTCCGAATCCAACTCAGGTGCCCAATTAACACTTGCATTAGTTAGATAATCACAGCACTCCAGAGCAACTTCTTCAATATCCGTCGTTATTAATATTCTACTACCTTGAGTACCCTCCGGAAAAGCCCTTCTAATAATATCCCAAGATATTGTTTCCCATAAACCATCAATTATAATGAAATACCTGCCGAGGGCCGAGTAAACCAAATATAACAATTATGTCGAGAAGGACCAGCATACGCAAGTACAGAAATACAACAATGATGCATGGTCAACAAAAGTCTGAAATTTACTCCATAAGGAATTAAGGATAATGTTTTCTATTGGCTCCTTGCGTTCTAGTAATAAGATATATTCACTACCTTAAGCTCTAACAATCTTGGATGCATAGGAGTTTGTAAGCTCTGAATGCTGGTTTGAACTCAAACAATTAAGTTCTCGAGCCCAAACAAACTGGGTATTTTAACACGCTTTAAGATTCCCTTTTCAAATACAAAATTTGTGAAAAGAAAGAAACCATAGGTTTCGCGTGATCAGTCTGATCTATGTTCTTTATTTTCAGTATTCCTGCATATTCTCTGCTGTCAGAAGTAAGTCAAGTAACCATTGCCACTACTCCTGGAATAGACTGAAATACTGAATCTGCACCTTGGGATTATATGTACATAAATCTAGTGAATGTGGATTAATATGTTTGGCAACGCAGAACCAATTGGTTTGTAGTAATATATATGTCCAAATAGTATGACATGCATTCGAGATAAGTGGAAGAACGAGCTTATAACATACATAAGTACAGAAATACAGTACCTCTTCTGTTAAAGACGTGTTCTAAGGTTGTCTACGAGCTCTTGCACGGCGAGACCACAAGGGAGCCGTTGCTGGCGCCGGACTTGAGAGATCATGCTCCGGAGAAGCCTCCGTGTATCAGGAACTCTTGACGCCCGCACAAAGGCTCGACGCTCGAACTGCCTTCCAATTTCACGATACACTACTTGAGCAAGCGTACTCTTACCAACTCCAGCAGGTCCAAGAATGGATACTACTTTCAGCCGCCCTTGGGCCTCGTCGGCGTTACTGAGCCACTTGATGAGTTCGCCCCTTGATTCACTGATGCCGACGAGGCCTGTAGCCTTCCCGTTGAAAGACGATGGAAGCTGGTCTTGCGCATCCACCATGTAGCTAGGATTCGATGCCCAACGCTGAAGCTCGTACCTCTCGTGCCGCTCACGGGCCTGCCTCACAAGAGTCCTAAATTTTGTGACCACGGAGAGGATCTCTTTGTTCATACCGCGGTTGGACACCATGTCGGAGCTCATCGTGATGTCAATGTAATCCTCCATGTCGTAGGACAGCTCGCGCACCTCGTTCATCCAGCGCTTGACCATGGAGTTGGGACCTTCCACCGTTGACAGATTCACCAGCAATCTGTTTATTTCTTCTACATCTTGTGTCAGGTGTTCGATTCCTTCCTTCAGTGATTTTGGCAGCTGAATCTCCGGAGAGACAATCTGAGCATGGAGCTTCCCAAGAAGGGATCCCATGGCTCCCAAGGATGAACTCATCGCCTGCTCTTCCATGTCTACTTGGAAGAAACCAAAGCATCGAGGGGAGGCCTAGCTACTCACTCGTTCCACACCATCTTGTCCACAGGTGCAGATCTGAGAGCTGAAAGGGGAAATGGGTGGTAGGTACGACTTAGGAGCGATGGCAATATGAAAGAAAATTTGGGTTTGTTTGCTTGAACGAGTGAACAACAATGCCTCTGAGGATTGATGACCCCACTGCTAACGATGCTTCGGCCTTAGACATCACACTGACGCCATGTACAGATGATTGACGGCACTTGTGCTACCGGTTTTCTGATGGTACTTTATTTAAAACTAGCAGAAATGTATGTGCATTGCGATGAACATACACGTGGTCTCCTGAATTACTTGTGGTTTGAAGATTTATATTTTTTCATCTATTCCAATATGTATGGAAACTCTGCTTATGTTGTCTCAACATAGCAGGTCCCAAGCCCTAATAAAGAAGGAGAGTTGTGATAGACGTGGCGAGCCAACGTTAAATCTAGCCACTCTAATGGAGATGAAACTCGAAAGGAAACCGTTGGGGCGTAACCCTCTTAGCGACACGCCATATTGAAACCCGGGTATGGTGTTAAATGGGTAAGGGCCGGGTTGGCACCCCCTTGGTGACGCGCCGTGTCGCGATCTGGGCATGGTGTGAAGTGAGTAAGGATCGGGTCATCGCTTCCGTAGTGGCGCGCTACATCGGCGCCCGGGTGTAGTGAAAAATGAGCAAGGGTCTTCACATCTGAGTTGACGGGTGCGAAGGGTAAGGAAGCTAGTCGAACCAACTAGGATCCGTTTAGGTAGTTGGAATGTAGGGTCTGAAAGGATCAAGATGCCCAAGAGGAGGGGTGAATTGGGCTAATTCTAAAATTCTTTACAATAATTAAACCCTACACTTAGCCCACCTCACCCCTTGTGCCTAGAAAGTGTTTCTAATGTTCTACCGCATAAAAGTTTTGTAACCTAAGTTCCAATCCTACTCTAGCATGGCAATTCTATGAATGTAAAGACAAGAATTGAATTGCTCAAAGTAAATGTTTAAATTAAAGAGAGGAGGAACGCGGCGATGTTTTATCGAGGTATCGGAGAGTCGCCACTCCCCACTAGTCCTCGTTAGAGCACCCACGCAAGGGTGTAGCCCCCCTTGATCCGCGCAAGGATCAAGTGCTCTCTACGAGTTGATTCTTCGACACTCCGTCGCGGTGAATCATCCACAACCGCTCACAACTTGAGTTGGATCATCCACAAGCTCCACCGGATACTCACCAAACTCCCAATCATTACCAAGCCGTCTAGGTGATGGCGATCACCAAGAGTAACGAGCAAGAACTCTCACTTGACCACAACAAGCCTAATAAGAAGGGTGGATGCACACTTGCTACTCTCTTTTTACTAATGAGGCCTCTCTCTTGGATTCTTAAATCTCAATCACCTCACTAGGACCTTGCTCTCCTTGGCACTCTCAAGGGTGTTTCTCAGCTGTTGAAATGAGCAAAAGTCATCTCTTGAGTGAATAGAGGAAGTATTTATAACCCCTCATTCAAAACGAACCGTTATGTGCCTCTGCGGGGTGATCGGACGCTCCGGTCAAGTTGACCGAACGCTTCGGTCAGTTCTCCCTGCCACTAAGCCATTAAGTTGTGACCGGACTCTGACCAGCGTCCGGTCACAAAAACTGCTCTCTGAAACCTTACTGATGTTGACCGGACTCTGGCACCCAGCGTCCGGGCACTTTGCGGCTCAATGTCCGGTCAGTAGCCGGAACCTGACCAGCGTCCGGTCAGCACTGACGGGACGCGCCCGATCAGGATTCTCCCTCTCTGGGACCTTACTGGAGTTTACCGGAGTCTGGACCCCAGCATCCTATTACATTTCACTCAGCGTCCGGTCGCATCCAGACGACTTCACCTTGATCAAATGAACTGACCAGACTCTACGCCAGCGTCCGGTCACACCAGAACCAGCGTCCGGTCAACATTTGATCCTCCATTCACTTCCAACTCGCAATCATATGTGAATAAAATTTGCTCCAATTGATTGATGACAATACAACCTCGAGTATGTAAAAGAGATGAGGTTTTCAACATGCTTGGTTCATATAAGCTTTTGATAATAAGAACAAAAGAGTAAGGCAAGCTTATATGACCCAAGCCAACATGATGTACTCAATAGATATGAAATAGGCATGAGTACAAGAAAATAAAGCTCATTTGCATCGGAGTAGAACGCGGAACCAAGGCAAATGAGCATAACCAAGTGACATGACATATATAAAGATCAAAGCAGAGAGCACACATGTCACATATCACATATAAAAATCACTATCACATTAATATCACGATCACATTAATATCACACGTACGTAGTTCAATGCATGAAGGTAAATATGAATGCATAATAGTGTATCACACATAAAAAGCCAAATATAATTAATAAGCTCCACCTAGATATGTCGCTCCCCCTAAGTCTATCATACTCGATCCCCCTCCCCCTTTGGCATCAAGCACCAAAACCTACGGGTCTTATGGTTGGGCAGCAGCGGATGAGTCGGGCGTTGAGGTGCGATGAGCGATCTGAAACTAGGCATCATCATCATCTGACCCTGAGCTCTAAGCAGTCTGACCCTCTGTCGCTAGAAGTGATGCCGAAGCGGTCTAGGTTAGATCTGGAACTGGTGCGGCCTATGAATCTGTAGGTATGGCTGTAGCAGGTGGCTCTGATGATGCAACTGATGATGGGAGCATCTCTGTAGTCCCAGTAATAGGAGCAACTGTGGAAGGACCAGGGACATGTAGCTCTGGCGGTGTAGGCTGCCCTATCAACTCACTGAATATAGCACCAAGGCTCCTGGACACTGGGGTGAGCACTGAGGAACTCTAAGGCGGAGTGAAGCTCATATGAAGCGGTGTGAACTGCGGACCCTAGGCTATCACTGGCGAAGCAAACCACTGGGACACCTGCTCTATATGTGAAGCAAACTGAGTAGCTATCTATCCTTGACTCTAAAGCCCATTGGGCTGTATAACTGGAGTCTGTGATGTGGTGGCAGGCTGGCTGAGCTGAGGTGCAAGCTATGGTGGTGGAGCCCCAATAGCAGTAACTACATGCTGCATAAATCCAAGTAACTGCTGCAGCATTAGAAGCTATTGCTGCTGCATGGCCTGCTGCTGCTGTATGGCCTGCTGCTGTCGTTGGAACTCATCCTGTCTGGCCTAAAACTGTGCAAATGTAGCTGCGGTCTCCTGGGCCTGGCAAGCCTGATCCTGCCTCATTCGCTCAAGTATATCAAGAAGAGCGGGGTCTATCTGCGGTGCCTATGGAGCTGAGCTGGAGCTATCGGCCTCATAGTCATGTCATCGAGGAGGCATCTAAGGGATATCCTAGTAGTCATCATCTGAACTGTCATTGGAGTCGCTCTCGACCATACCCTCCTGCTGAGCATCTAGCTGCTCCTCCTCTATCGCTGCAATGCCCTTGATAGTCTCATCCTACTGGGCTGCAGACTCTGGCACCTCTGGGCGATGGCGTGTCTAGCTAGGTGTCCTTGCTGCACTATGGCGGAGCATCTGAGTCATGTTATAAGCTAGAAACTCTGTAGTATCTCTAGAATACTCTGCCAACATCTTAGGAGGCCTCACTGTGACTGCCCTATGAATTAGAAAAGTGATCCAGTGAGCATACGGTAGCTGCTTGTGACCTCTGAATCCCTCTACAAGGGTATCCTCCATCTCAGAAAGAATGACATCCCATACATCAAAGACTATCTACTGCATCAGGGTGTTCAGTAGCCACAACTGAATGCAAGTCAATCCCTCGTGATATCCCATCCTTGGAAGCAGGGTCCTCCTCATGATAGCATCAAGTAGTCTGGCTGTAGGAGTAAGATCCCTGGGTGTCCTGCTCGACCCCTCGCTGAATGACTCTGTGAAGCAAGGTCAGATGAGATCTGTGGGAGGCACAAGACCACCGTGAGGGCGTCTAGGAGGCTCTGTATGTCCATAGCAAACCTCGTGAATGTGGATGGGTGACTCCTGTAACCTAAGGATCTCACAGACCCTAAAGCTCATCAGCCTGTAATCACGGCCTCTGAATGCAAAGTGAATAAATCTATGGCCTGGGTCAATATAGAGTGAAGCGTAGAACTCACGGACCCATGATGGGACATATCTGCCTATCCGTCCAAGTAAATCTATCAGCCCTGACAAGTAAGAGAGATGAGGGTGGATCTGCTCTCCAACTGCTACAACAATGGCCTCAATAGAACAAACTCGCTGAGATCTAAAGGCCACCCCACTGTTAAGATATGCATTGTAGAAGTCCTCCTGCAGTGGTGTATAGAACCCCTCTAAAGCACGCTCATCCCTCCTCGTCGGGAACCAGTCCTCGAACGGCACGAACCTGAGCTACTACACCTGCTTGGCCGTGGCGGCCCTCAAATCCAGATGAGTCACTAGAGGCGGACGAGAACCTCTCCTCTGTGTCTCTGTCCTCGGTGTCACCTGGGTACGAGTATGACTAGAGCGGTGTAACTATGGCTGAGGTGCCTGCTCTGTCTCCCTGGTCTGCTCTACCTCTCGTGTCTGCTCTGTCTGCTATTGTGGCTCCCCCTGAGGCTGAGTATCCTCTATAGCAACATGGCGTCCCTCAAGCATGACAGTCCAAGCTGGACTACCATGATGACGCTCAACCTGCTCAATGGCTGCCCGCTGTGCTAGTGAGAGCTGATCTACAATCTGGACTCCACTCCTAGCACCTCCTCTCTCTGCACGCTCTACAGCGGCTGCCACTACTGCTGTTCTCACTGTATTAGCATCTGCATACTTCCGCTTCTTTGATGTTATCTTCTTCATCGCCTTACCTTTCACATCAGTAGGCAAGCGAGGCGGAGGCCTCGGATCCTCATCACCTGGACCACCTCCGGTGTTCTTGACACAAGCCATTGCTAAAGCTAAAACAAACTGCAATCATGGACAAGAACCAACTATCACTGACACTTCTGAGGC